TCAACTCGCTCCATTTAGAAACTTTGTGCCTGTCTGTTTGACTTGAAGCCTGTCTGTTTGACTTGCTTTGTCAGTGGCTCATTCTTCATTTCCATAAGCAAACAGTAAATAAAATGTTTATGAGATTTGGAGTATGGATGTGTAAGTGTAACTTTGTACACAGATAACCAATGAGGTTGGGCTCATTGATTATCGTGCATGGTTACACGCTGCCCCACTCCCCACATTGCTGCCTCTGTATCAGAGGTAGCAGCACGAGGGGCAGGTGGGAGACAGTGTGTGCAGGGAAATGGCTTTTAAATCAGCTTCCTGTGCATACTGACTCCTGGGGAAACCACCTCCCATCCCCCAGCCATGTATAACAGTGTAAGTGCTGAAATTTACACATCTACTTAAATAAACTGATTTTAACACCCCTAATCTGGAGTTCTGTAGCCTAATGTCATCTGACCTTATAGACCTCTAGTTTTGCCCTGGCTTTAATTCCAATGGGAGTTTTCCATTTATTTTAGTGGTAACATATTCCAGACCTATTCTGTTTTCTCTGTCTGCTCCAGTAAATGTTGTTTCATTTTGATTTTCTTATTTCAGTTTTCTATTGTGTTAATTACAGAACAAAGAGCCAGCTATCATCTTTCTGTTCATTTGCCAGGAATGACACATTCCCTGTAACTCACAATCAGGCAGACTTTAGGTGGGCTGGAAGTTTTGGATCAGACCACAAAAGCTGTGTATCTCAGTTTAGAAATAGAAATGGGATCATTCCTAGAAATATCAACCTCATCAGCAGGCCTACTGGTTGTCATAAGCCTGATAAATGGCATCAGTTAGTTTTGCTGAGAGAACTTGTATTGATGTTTGGACATCTTCCGGTCTGGTCCTGAGTTTGGCATGGATTGTCTGCCCTTTAAGTCTTTACTTATTTACTCTTCAGTTTATGCAGAGGCAACATCGAGTTAAAGACAGCTAAAATAGGACATAAGTTTATAGCGAGTACATTGAGCAGTCCCAAGGAGGTGCGTTAAAGTAAAACATTGGTCTGATTCAAAGTGCAGTGGCAGGACTCCCATTGACTCTAGTGAGCTTTGGATCAGGCCCGGTGGGCTGAAGCATTCAGTTGAGGCACGATCCTCTGTGGTTCTGAATACTTCCAACTCCTGCTGACACCAGTGCTGAAATCCAGCCCCTACTGAAGTTAATAGGAATCTTGCCCTTGAATTCAGTCGGTCCAGGATTTCCTTGGGAGCTGCACATGATTGAAATCTCTCAGGATCAGACCTTAACTACCAAATAAGCGCTTACAGCACCAGGGGGCTGACAGCTTTCTCAGGCCCCTGGAAAAGGTGGGGAGGGGGCAGCTCCGTGCCTGCAGAAGGGGCAGGTCCAGGGCCAGCGAGCCCTTAGCACTGCCTAGACCGTGGTACTGCCTCCCCTCCCCAACCTCAGAGCCACGTGGAGTACATAATACGGCGCTCCAATGGCATTCTGGCGGCAATTTAAATGGCCCAGGGCTGTAACTGCCATTGTTGCCACAGTAGCAGCAATGCCAGCCGGGAGCCCTGGGCCCTGTGGAATTGCCAAGCCCCGGGACAATTGTCCCCTTTGCCCTCCTCCTCCTCTTTGGCAGGCCTGTTGAGTACACCCTGCAGCTGACCTGCACCTGCAGAATACTGATTAAAGGGATTGGAATCCTAACATAATGAATTTGTGCACTTCCGCAGATGTGTGTAAAAACAGGCAGTCTTCAGCGTTGCCAGTTTTACAGAAAATACAGAATTCTAGAAAGGTGTTTTCTAAGACATAAGGAAGGCCTAAAATATCTGCTGTAGAATTTGCATTGTACAGTGAGAGGGCATTTTTCAAACATGTGTACTGTATTTAAGCATCTAAATAAAAAGCCTGACTTTTTAGAGGTAATGGAGCAGCTGCGGCTGCTATTGAAATTAGCAGACTCCATTGGGAGTTGTGGGGGCTCAGAATTTTTTTTTTCTTAAGGTAAATCGTGACTACTGTTATTTGAAAAGTTTTAAAGATTCAGTTGTAATAAGCTTCTCAAATGTTCACCTGTAGATTTCACGCAATACCTGACAGAAGTAGAATTAATTCTGAATCTCATGTGGTTTGTTGGGCATCTGTGTCTCTCTAAGCCAGTGGTGGTCAATCTGTAGCCTATCAGGGTTCTATGTGTGACTCACAAGACCTTTTGTTTCCTGTTGTTTACTGTCACTGAGATGGAGGGCTACTCATGTGGTATCACTCACTAGCTTAGGTTGCCCACTGCTGCTCTAAACTGTGTTACAAGTACCAGCTCTTATCCCCAAAAGAGTAGCAGAGGACTTAATTTGGCTGATTGGTCTTGTCCTATTTTCTTAAGTCAGGTGAAAGGATAGTAAAATTGAAGTATTTGAGATTATCTCAAGTAATATTGTCTGTTGTTCCATGCATGAACATAGCACTTTACAAACAAAAGAAGACAAGAGCTGTGCTCCTCTGTAGAATTTAGTTTAAATTACAGCTATAAACCTAACCATTAAGGATCAAGTATGAAAATATGAGAAAAAAGGATTTGAGGGAAAGGCAGACCCAATACATTTATATTGCAGCAATGGCTAGAGTTCACAACTGAGATTGGGCCCTGTTGGCCTACGCACTGTGGCTACGTCTACTGCACCCTTCTTCCGCAAAAGCTTATGGAAATGAAGTGTGGAGTAGAATATTGCTGTGCTTCATTTGCATAATTAATTAGGGGCCATTTTTGCGCAAAAGGCTTTTGTGCAAAAAGGAGCCAGCTACACAGCTCCTTTTTGCACAAAAAGCCCCTCTTGCACAAGAGGGGCTTTTTGTGCAAAAAGGAGCCAGCTACACAGCTCCTTTTTGCACAAAAAGCCCCTCTTGCACAAGAGGGGCTTTTTGTGCAAAAAGGAGCCAGCTACACAGCTCCTTTTTGCACAAAGGCCTCTTGTGCAAAAATAGCCCCTAATTAATTATGCAAATGAAGCACAGCGATAGTCTACTCCATGCTTCATTTGTATAAGCTTTTGCAGAAGAAGGGTGCAGTATAGACATAGCCTGTATGTCTACATAGCATGTGAAAGTGTAGTGGTAGCACAGATAGACATGAATATACTAACTTTAGGTACCATGGGTAACAGAATAGTGTAGATATGGCAGCATAGACTTTGATATGGACTAGCCCCGGGAATATGTATCCAAATTCTTTGGCAGGCTTTATATCAGGTGGTGAGTCCATGCCACAATGAGTACACTAATGATGTTACCTGGGCTTGTTAGATTAAAGATAACATGGATATACTTACCCATGCTCACCTTAATTTGTAGTATAGACACACCTACAGTGGGTGTCAGTTCCTGCCCTCGAATTGTTTATAGTCTATGTAGATAAAAGAGACAGTGGACAAGAGAAAAGAAGTATCAATATTCCCACGTCTGCAGACCAGGAAATGATTGTGCCTACAGTTATGAATGAAAATTCTCTGGTAAATTTGACTCTGTTGTTTGCTGAAGCTAGGAATTAATTTTAATGATGATCTTTTAATGAATTGTCACAAGAAAACAAACAAAAACAGATACATGAATTGCAGCTTGTAGGTATCACCCAAATACTGCTCATTTCACAGGATATCCAAAAAAATTATGGAATTGCACAACTTTACAACTTGTCAAGCTGAAAGACCAGATAATACAGAATCAGGCAATATTACACATATGTAATATGTCAGGGCTAGAGGGAAAGACATACACAAATAGGCACAAAAGGAAAGAAGGGAACAAGTGGACAGGCAAAAGCAGAGAGATCACATGACAAAGAAGTTTAATATTATTTGAGATATCTCCTCATTCTTTATCCAAATATGTTGTTTAAAAAAAAATGACAACACTTTTTTCTCCTCTGAAGCATTTTTGAGAAGAAGGCGGTTATGCGAAGCATAATTTTAATTTTCGTGACAGCATAAATACATATTGGCTTTGCATACACTCCTTCCGTGCACACATTATTTATTTTGTCACACAGATATGATGGGGTTGAAGTGCAATGGGTTCTACAAATCTAACCCAATGTGAGGCTGCTGCTGAGCAATACTCATGTTGAGATCAGTATAAGCAACTTCTACATGTGTCCACAAAGAAACAAACTTGGACTTGGAGTAACACACAGTGCTCTTAAGATTGTAGGTCAGTAGACAAATAGGAACAATTAAAAATGGTTTGAAACAGTCATGAGGCTATAACCTGTTCTTGGTCAAACTTACTTAAGTCCCCTTATTAATTCTAGCGCACACTTTTTTTATTTTAACCTATTTGTAATCTTGGATTTGAATATTTTTCTGGAAATAAAGATCTTGTGTGCTGTGTAAATGACATAAGTTTCATTTCTACAGATTTCAGTTGGAAATGTAGAGAACTTAACAAAACTTTTTGCTGTGTACTTGAAGTTCAGCTCTTTTAGATTGAGGAGTACCTTCTCACTTTAATGCAGTGATATCTTTGCATAGTCTCTAGGCATGGAGAAGAGATGATACCTTTCAATCTTCTATAGCTACATGGCTGATTTCTGCTGTATATTAAAAGTTCTGAGACTCAGACAGTCTTCCCTTTTTGTTTCTGGATTGATACCCCTTGTTGAAGAATTCAGTCCAACACACATATTTCCTGGCTCACAATTCCGAATTGAAATGAAATAAAATTTGAAGTTATTCTTATGTTAAAAAGGACGTCTTGAACTGAGGCTAAAAGCTGAGTTACTCTTCTGATTTTTGTATAAAAATTGTTAAAGTTCCACTAAAATGATGACAGAAGAATCAACTTGTCTACGTGACAAAAAGAGGAAATGTAAGCCAAGCCAATGACTCCAGCTTGTGTACAGTCTAATTTTTGGAGGGCTTTCAACTTGCTCATATTTTCATTGAAGTATTAATGACCATACATTCCTTTTTAGCTTATTCTGGACTATGTCTCCTTTCTGTGTGTTTTTTTTCCAGACTGCTACGAGACCAGTGGATCAGAGCCAAATATGAAAGAAAAGAATTCATTTACACTGAGAAGCAAGAGCCTTATTCTGCAGGTAGTGAAAGAAATTCTCAGCAGATGATTTTTGTTGTGTACAATAGCATCCATTTCCATTCTGTGGGCTCCTTTTTTTAATAACATTGAAAAATTACATCTCCTTACACAGGAGGGGAAAGTGCAACTCTTTGGGAAAAGATGTCCTTTGGGGTTGGGTTGATACTTTAGAGTTTTATCCAAAGCCTTGCAAAATCAATAGAGGGATCTTTTCATTGACTTAAGAGGGATTTGGATCATGCCGGTGACCAACAAATAATGTACAAATAGGATATTTTTGGCAGCAGGGTATGCTAATAGAAATTAAAATATAGGTCACTACTTGGTAAGGAATTTATACTATCAGAAGGAATTTTCCACTGGAATGAAGAAGGGCTTAATAACTCATTTTGGTTTTGTTGTGATGTCTTTGTGGTTAAGTATTTGGGTGATATTTTAAAATTATTTTTCATGCAAGGTGACACTGAATGTGTGTGTGTGTGTGTGTGTGTGTGTGTGTGTGTGTGTGTGTGTGTGTGTGTGTGTTCCACCCCATTGTGAGTGTGGTATGTAGATACACACGTTTGTTGTAAGGGTCAAAAATGCAGCTCCCATTTAGGTGCCACTGAATGTAAGTTGACTGTTGTTTTTAACAGGGGTTTTATTCTATCTTTGTGACAATTCTAAAGTTAAGCCATCAGATTTGATTCAAAGGTTGTGGGGTCCACTGCACTTCCTCATTAACTTCGTAACAGGCAGTTATTACTTACAGGGACCGATCCTTCTCCAATTGCAGTCAATGGCAAAACAAAGGTCAATGGCAGTCAATGGTCAAGCCCATGGCATAGTAAGTGAAGTGTACAGTTGAAAAGGTTCCCCCCACAGCCATAGAAGTCTCTCTTCCCAATAGTTCACATAGGTGCATGCAGTACAGTACAGCAAGGAAATATGGTGTTTGTAAATGCATTGTCTTGTGGAACAGATGGAATTTGAGAAGAATTGGTTGGGAATTTTTTTTAAGTGGAAGTTTGGGGTATGGCAAACATTACTTTTGAGGCTTTAGTAGGCAGTAGGATGGTGTGAAAGAAGACAAAATTGGCTAGTTTCCTTTTCTTGTCAACAGATGAAGGCTGCATTGAATCTATTCAGTGTTTATACTGTACTGTTCGTTGTGTTTTTAAACCAGCTATGTGCATGGGTGGTGCTGCAATAATTTTATTAACAAGGACCATGTTAGTGATGAAAAGGTTAAAATATTAATTGCATGTTACTTGTAGAGCCTGATAAGCAGGTAGCACCAGTGATTTGCTGCTAATACTACCACAATTAAAATCTGATCTCATGTATACCCAGCTTATATTCAATGAATTTCTACTGTTATTTTATGTTATATGACACTATATAAAATGTATATATTAAAGAGAGTGTATGAAAACATATAAATAAATGCGGTGTATCTGACATTTTCCAAGCTGCCTAGCAGAATTATATACAATCTGTTGATTTTAAAGGATAGTATATACATAAATCCCTTAGACCCGTGGTCACCAACCAGTAGATCGTGAGCTACCGGTATATCTCAGGGGCTCTAAGAGTAGCTCTTGAGCCCTCTCTGAACTGCGCACCTGCGCAGTACATTTACATTAGATTTCCTCATTTGAGGAGCAGCTACTCACTGAGCAACAACACAGGTGAGTAGCTGCGAGGAATGGTGGGAGCTGGGAGGTCGGGAGGGCTGAAACATCCCAGCCAGCTGACTGTGGCTTTCACAGCTGCAGCTAGGCGCAGCCTCCCTGGGCTGAGCGCAGGACAACCGGGCTGGAGGAAAGAGAAGCAGCTGCTCGGTCAGCTGGCCATGGTGCTCAGCCAGGGTGCACCATGCTCCATGTGGGCTGGCGCAGAGTGGAAGCTGCCTGGCCTACTGGCTGTGGCGTTCAGCCCAGAGGAGGCTGACCCGCGCTCCAGCTGATTGGGCGGCTTCCCCTTTGCATCTGCCCACGTGGAGCTTGGTGGCACCCTGGCTGAGCACCATGGGCAGCTGGCCGGGCAGCTGCTTTTCTTCGCTCCAGCCCGGCTGCCCTGCGGTCAGTCCGGAGGGAGCGCGGGTCGGAGGCTTCCCTCCGTGGCTGGTGTAGGGATCTCCCTGCCCCAAACCTTGTTTCCTCTCCTCTGCCCCAAACCTGTCCCCCGCCCTCCTGGCCCCGGTCCCCCCCCC